CAGGGCTGGAAACAAGCTTTACTACAGAAATAGTGTCTGGCCACTACTGCTCTCGCAGTTTGTGAGTGCTGCTCAGAGCCCTTGCGCTCAGAGTCCGTGCCATTTGGGGCTGGGGGCATTTCTGGAGGACAAAACCTGCTCAGGCAGCTGCCAGGCCAGCACCCCTGCCCTCCTGCAGTCAGCACAGCTCCCCAGAGTGGAAACCGGCCAGCCCTGCGCCTGTCCGTGCCAGCTGGGGGCAATCTCAATGGCACCGGAGGTAATTTTGCAAGCACGTGCACCTCAGTTCCAGCACCAGGCTCCAGGCTGTTTGTTTCTCCACCTGATTTGACTTTGGCTGCCCCCACTGCTGCGTCCGGCCCCGGCATGGAAGAGGAATGGTCGACGTGGGGGCTGCGTGCTCCCGAGCATCCGCACGCAGGGACACACACACAGCTGCTGTCCCGGCACAGAGTGTGAGGCTGAGCTCTGCTGAATTCATTTTCCAGCCTGGGGACTGTGGAGGCCCCTGAGCCTGCCAGGGAAAGGGCAGTAGCAATGCCCTGGGGAGACACACAGTTGGCTCTGGGCATTCCTCTCAGCTCAGGCTGAGGAAACAGGCTTCTCCCAGGCTGCTCTGCAGCACTCTATTAACTTGTCCCACTTCAGTCTTCCCCACTGGCCCTCCCTTATTCATTTTCCAGCCTGGGGACTGTGGAGGCCCCTGAGCCTGCCAGGGAAAGGGCAGTAGCAATGCCCTGGGGAGACACACAGTTGGCTCTGGGCATTCCTCTCAGCTCAGGCTGAGGAAACAGGCTTCCCCCAGGCTGCTCTGCAGCACTCTATTAACTTGTCCCACTTCAGTCTTCCCCACTGGCCCTCCCTACTCCTTTTATATGTTCAAGTTCTAGGAAGATCTCCATTGTCTGTAACCCCGCCTGTCCACCCTGGCATTCCCTAGTGGCCCTTTCCCAGGGTACCACCCCTGAGCCCTCAGACCTCTGGATCTCTGGTGCTCTTCTCCACCCCCTATTTCCCGGTATTTTTACCCTAGACTCACTTTTGTTTTTGTCTTTGGCCCCTGCACACCTCCAGTGTCTCCTGAAATAAAGCACGTTGGAACTCTGTGCCTGGGCGCTCCCGTGTCTTCAGTGCCGAGCTGTTCCCTCTGTGTGTGTGAGGTGTGTGTGTGTCTGTGTGTGTGTGTGACTGTGTGTGTGTGTGTGTGTGTGTCTCTGTGTCTGTGTCTCTGTGTCTGTGTGTCTGTGTCTGTGTGTCTGTGTGTGTGTGTGTAGCCAGATCTCCTTGCCGTTGCTGGGCTTCTGAGGACCGGCAGCCTTGGAGCCATGTTTGGGGCTGGGCAGGGATTTGGGCATCTCTCCCAGCTCTTCTGCCAGCTCAGCCTTCTTCAGCCACTGCCGCAGGAGCTCCGGGGAGGAGCGGGACACCGAGCCCGAGATGGTGTCACAGAGCAAGGTGTGCAGGGCGCTGAAGTACCGCCCCGAGGGGAGAACACCGACCTTCTTGACCAGCAACACCTCTTCCTCCGGGGTGGAGGGGGCTTTGGGAAGCACAGTCTGGGGAGGGTCTGGGGCCAGGGTGATGCTGAGCTGGGGGCCAGGCGGTGGGAATGGGGGGTTGCTGGATGGAGAGGAGGCTGGGTGAGCTGGTGTGGGGGTGCTGCTGGGGGGGCTGGGCTGGGGGGCTGGAGAGCTGCCATCCTGCTGGGGGGGCTCAGTGCTGGCTGGGAGGGAGGGCAGCAGCTTGTATTTTTGGAACATGAAGTTGGCTGAGCTCTGGAAGTTGCTCCTGTCCCCTGAGTCCGCCTCAGGCACCCGAGGCTGCGCTCCCTCTCCCAAGCCCACGTTCCCTCCTGCAGCCTCTTTCTCCTTATCCTCTTGGTCCAGTGTCCCCTCCCCACAGCCACTGGGTCTCTGAGTGTTCCCAGCTTCTAGCAGTCTCTTCTTGAAGCTAAGGTCCAGCACTATTTCCTTCAGGGGCGGCTCCTCAGTGCCCACCCTGTCTGTGCTGCCCTCCTGAGACTCCAGTTCTTGGGGCACAGGCTTTGGCTTTTTAGGGATGCTCCTGGAACAGCTTTCCTCTTGGCTCTGCACTGCATCACTGCCCAACCTGAGGCTGGACACCCCTGAGATGTCTCTGAGGGCAGCAGGCTCCTGGCTGCCACCCGTGTTTTGGGCTGAGGAGTCCTCCCACAGATGGCTCTTGCAGAACAGGATGGGGTCTGTGTCTTTGGCCTTCTCCAGGTACTCCTGGTAAGGTGCCAGGCTGAAGACGTTGTGGATCACAGGCATGGGTGGGGAGGATGACAAAGCCTTGGTGTCCCACAGGTCTTCCAGCCCTTTGATGGGGGACCCGGATGGAGAAAGGCGGATGAGCTCCTTGGCTGGATCCATGACCTTGGGGGCATTTCCTTCCCCTGGTCCCCCACAGGGGGTGTCCTCTTCTTCCTCCCTGGATACAGGGGGGTGATGTTATAGCTGGTCTAAAGCTACACAGATAATTTGGCCGAACAGACACCAACTCCACTAGCCTAGCTCATTAGAAGGTAGCCATAACAAGTCCCCAAGCATACCAATGAGAAGTTGGACTGAAGTTCAAACAGGGGACCTCAGCCAAT